ATATCCGGGACTTGAATTTGTCCCCCATTAGCTGCGTTCCCAATTTTTAAACTCGATGCCTCCTCTAGTGTTATTTATAATCTCTATGTCGCTAATGCTTTCGTTTCCCCGGGTGTATATAGCCGGGGGGAATTAGTACCCTCGCACGGCGCTTCGCGCCATCGGCTCGGGGACAATAAAGTGATTACAATAAAGTCAAGCAGGTGTAAATTTTTAAAGCCCGCCGCACACTAGAGCTATCAGCTGAGCTGAGCGTCACGCGTGACTGTTGGCGTAAGCAAGTTTCTCAGGTGTGCGGGGACGTTTTGAGAGATTTCCGATTTCTGCCATTAGCACTGAATGTTCAACATGTTGAATAATTTTTGACACGAGTGTCGATTATCTTTAAGTGTGCGGGCAGGAAAAGCAAACAGCTTACAATATGATGCCAATACGCATGCGTGCTACATGAATCTTTCAATTAACCAAAATGGCGACAAGTAGCGTTGTGGTGTCCGAAGCATTGTTGGAAGACAAAATCGCCGATATTTGGCCGGATTGCCTTTGCCTTTATGACGTGAGGAGTCGCGATTTTAAAAATAGAGATTTGCGTGATAGGTCGATGCAAGAAATAGCCGAAAAACTTGGACAAACTGGTATGTTTATTTTATTTACAAGTTCACTGTTCACATTTTATATTTTAATAGTTAGAGTCAAAACGGAAAACTATATTACGCTCTATCTATATGTTATCGAGCACTCTTTGCGTTTCGTAAACCACATTATTTACGAATATATCTTATATATATATATATATATATATATATATATATATATATATATATATATATATATATATATATATATATATATAGAGATATATATAGAGATATATATACCGGGTGGCGCAAAAAAAAGTATAACTGTTTGATTTAGTACAGCGAACAATCTATAAGGGTTACATCCCTGAAATAAACCTATAGCTGTATTCATAATAGTCTAACTTAAATTTTGAGCTATAGCATGTTTATTTACGTGCAATATTGACTGGGATATCGCCAAATAGAATTTGGAACGAAGTTTTGAAAATCTGACAAATTGGCTAAAAATGGCCTATTAAACTGTTTTGATAAATTTTAGAATTTCGTCAGACATATTCGCTTGTATGAATTTAATTTGAATTGAAACGTGTAACGAATGATTTTCCTTATTTATTTATTTGTTTTACTATCATTTGAAAAGCAACAAAATTTCGAAAAAGATGGCTCTTTTAATTAAGAATTGCTTCGCAGTATTCCATGTCCCATAGCTACAGGGAATTAAATTAGATCAACAACCGAACAATTTGAGACAGCTTCGTGAAGCGATTATTGCTGATTGCCATAACTTTGACCAGCAAATAAATCCAACGTTAATTCGTTCGATAGTATGGTCACACGCGCAAGAATATAGTTATTTAATTTTCCATGATAAACGCGTTATTTACTGCCGTTGTGTTCTTCATATATCGTTAATTCCTTTACTCGTATTTAATAGGCTATTTTCAGCTAATTTTGGAACGTTTTGAAATTGCATATTCAAATTGATTTACCAATATCTTGGGTAATACTAAACAAAAATGCATGTGTTATACATCAAAATTTAAGTTAGGCCTTCCTGGATAGGATAACATTTATTTGAGGAACGTAACACTTAGTTTTTTCGCTGTACTAAATCAAACGCGTGAACTTTTTTTTGCGTCACCCGGTATACTTTGTAAAGAACTGTTTCCTTTCTATTTTATTTGTTCAGAAAGGTTACAGTAGACAACAAAGATAATTTACCTCTTTTAGAGCAAGAATGGTCGCCGCATCCATTTTCCGTGCCTGTTTCAAAATGTCATTTGGAATATCATATGGCAAGACCCGATTCATGTTCATGTCTACTGTTGAAGTACGACTCACGCTAGCACAAGAGGTTAATGGTTTGCTAATGGTTGATGATTCACCAGTTGCTGATGCTCCTTTTGCAGTTTCAACTCCAGTTATTTCCAGTATACTATTTGATTTGATATGCTCTTTTTTTGTGACACAAAACAACACATGTTGATGGATGCACACTTTACTGATCTTTTGCTGTCTACCACTACCAGTTGCAACCTTACAGTTTTTCACTGAGCACTTGTAGAAGTTTTCCTGATCATACAGATGTGCATAACCCAATGGAGACACAGAACTCGGGGGACCATATACAGCGTAAACACCTTCAGAGATGTTCACCACTGCAGGCATCTCATTGCCCTCAAGAAAAGGCAAAAGACTTTTTAGCAAATCTTTTGCATTACAATCCCCACTGTATTTTTCTATTGATTGTCTTGTGAGGTAAAACACTTTACAATTTTGGACACTACTGTCGATCATTTGAATGTGCTCACAACTGAAGTTTCTGATATTTTCTGTGGAACTTGCGACTATCAGGGCACGTCTTCTTTTGCATTTTTTCTGATTACACAGTTTGTTTTCTGCATCAGCCACAACAAAACATCTGTCACCTCTTGTGCTTGTTTTCACAGAGTACACATTTCTACCAACATGAGCACAGTCAGGGTGGAGTTTCTTTCGCTTTTTCTCCTTGGGAATGTAACTTCCACCAATTTCATAGTTACACTCTGGGCAGTTTTTTGGCTTCCAGAAGTTTGCATATACAAATGGACATGCAGGGCACTTGCTTTTGCACCTTTTTGTTGCATTGCCCAGGATAATCTAAGAGAGATAATAGCATTCCGATTCACCAAAAATGAGTAATACAGATGTGATTCAATATTTTAAACAATCCTATACTGTATACATTGGAAATTGCAAATATGGCCGAAATATTCTGAAGTCTGACGCCATATATTACCATATGAAACCAAAAATGAGTAATACAGATGTGATTCCATGTATATCATTGTGTGATTCAAACATATGTTGAAACAATCCTATTACTGTAGAGTCTATAGATTGGAAATTGCAAATATAGCCGAATATACATGGGCCGAAT